ATCCTTCTTTGCACTAGAGGATGATGCCTCATCTTGCTTCTCTGGACCTATACTTTTGGTTATGCAATATTTCTTCAAGTGTCTAGACTTTTTACACTTCCAACACGTTATTTCCGATCGATCTCGGATTTTAGATTTTCCTCTGGACTTATTCCTACCATAAAATCTGGATTTGGATCGTTCACTGCTCCTTCCTCTTACGAAAAGAGCCTCTTGCGTTGCACTATCAGAACCAGCTCTTCTCATCTCCTCAGACAATAGAGTAGCTACAATGCCTTCAAAGGATAATGCACTAACACCAGTGCCAATCGAAATAATTATATGTTCCCATAAATTCGGCAGTGAACATAACAAAGTACATGCTTTATCTTCCTCATCTAGATTGATATCGATCGATGCAAGTTGCTCGTAAATAGTATTAAACTCGTTTAAGTGTGCAGAAAAAAAATCACCTTCGCTTATCCGCAAGTTGTACAATCGCTTCCGCATAAAGAGTTTGTTTATGAGTGACTTGCTCTGATAAAGGTTTTCCAGCTTCGTCCAGAGGTCCTTCGCCGTTTTCTCATAGGTCACGTTCACCAGGACACTAACCGCAAGGCATAACTAGATTAGGCTTCGCGCCCTCCAATTGCTGCTATTCCAAGCCTTCAATTCATCGGACGTGGACTCGGTCTCCTTTGCCTTCTCCTTGGATTTTTCCTTGGGTTTATCTTCTTCGATCACGTGCCATAGATCTCTATCTACGAGCAAAGCCTCCATCTTCAATTTCCATAACTCGAAACCCTTTCTTCTGAACTTTCTACTTCAATTCCTCATTGACTAGCCGATGACATCTTCCCAAGATTCGATTTTTCGGATCTCTCTTCGCCAAGGAACCGTAACCTTAAACCTGGCTCTGATACCAGTTATTGGGATTCACCGCACAATCACAAAGAAATAGAAAGTAAAAATGAGAAAGAGAATCGAGACACAAGGTTTTTATCCTGGTTCACATTTAAACTAGGGCTACGTCCAGCAGAGGATTCCACTATAATTAGCACCTCGCACCTCTATATTACATATCTTAATTACAAGAGAATGAGACTATATATGGGCAATAGTTTGATTCAAAATAGGAAATCTCTTTCTAGGAAACCTGTTCTAATTAGGAAACCTACTCCAATTAAGAAACCATTTAATTAAGAAATCTATTCAAAATAGGAAACCTAATTGAATTAGAAAACTTTCTTTTTCCAGGCTCATACTATAAAAGCCCTCTTGTGGCTTAGGACTGCCGCTCCCGTGAACCTTGCCCACTCATTGGAGAATGGGACTCTCGTGCCTTCTTGTCGATGGGGAGTATGAACCACACCCCAACAACCATCATGCCTCCGATCCGTTAGCGACACCAACCCCCTTGCCCACTCGACTAATTAGGTGCCTCTCTATCTATACCTCTGTGCTGAGGTTACGCTTAGTTGCTGTGACGGTCACGACCTGTAGATTTGGGATCGCTCGCCCTCGCAAGCCCCGATCTATGGTCACTCAAGGCTAGTGGCCTCCATAGCCGCAATGGTAGGTTTGGCTCATTATCTTCATTGAATTGAGAGCCAGGGAGAGAAAGAAGGACCTATGGCCATGGAGGTTCCAACCTCTGATGGTGGTCACCCGCCTCTCGCAACCTTAGGTCTATGGTCATGCAACGCCGACCACCTCCTAAGGGAGTGTGCGTTGTTCGATCCAGCTCATCCAATTGAGAGTACCCATAAGTAGCTAGCCAAAAATGGATTCTCTAGAAACCCATTAAGACCCAATCTAAATGAACTTTAATTGTAAACTACTTTCACCCAGCGCTTTAAATGTTTGAACTACCCACAAGCAACCTAGTCCCAAAAATATAAGTCAAATAATGCCTGCATGACTCATTTTAACACCTTGACCAACCACTATTACCACCATCTTCAACGACGAATACACGTTCAACTACCATCGCCATCATTCCCGACGACCTTTGTGTGTCCAACCGCCGTTCCGCCTCCAATCTCTCTCTCTCTCTCTCTCTCTCTCTTCGTGAAAGTTGACTGGTTGCAAGTTGCCTACCTTATAATTTACATGTGACAATTGATTTAAGGACCATATTGAATCATGATTTAAAAGTTGTAGGACCAGGGAAAAAGAATTAAAAATTGCCATTGTACGGTGAGGTAAAGTTCGCAAATTTTTAGTGTTGCTCCCAAAAAAATATTGATATTGGTTATGCTTTCATCGATTCTGAATACGTAATTTCGTGTGTTACCTATTCCAAACCCGATAATCGTTCCTTTCACTTTCCCAAAATGGCTCTTGTTGAAGGTTATTTCGGTAAAGGCACACAAGTGATTATCACCGATTCATCCATTACGATCCCTCTCTCTCCTTATGACCACTAGGGATGATCAGTTCCCGGTCCGGTTCGATTCCGGTCTAATGGAACTGGTCACTTAGGGTTTAATTTATATTTTACTAATTTTTGTAAATGAATTTTTGTCAATGAAGTTCACTTAGGATTTAGTTAATATTTTACTAATTTTTGTCATTGAATTTATGTCAATGAAGTTCGCTAAGGGTTTAGTTCACATTTTACTAATTTTTTAAAGAAATAAAAAAATTAAAAGAAGTATATGTAGTTGGTCTAGTCGGCCTGGTTCAGTCCGGTCCCCCCTTGGAACCGGATCAAAACTCCCCGGAACCAGACCAAACCGACCAGTTCGATCCTGTACGGGTGGTTCCCGATTTGGACGGTCTGTTTTGCACACCCCTAATGACCACTCATCCCACATTCTTCTCCTAATTTGCACACTTACAAAACAAACCGTACTCATTTAAGCTCTAAAGATGCAATGTTATGAATAGGCTTGGTGGACGGAATCAAAATCTTACAATGAAATCGAAATTTCGAAGTCGATGGATCCAAGTCGAGGCTATAAAGTTACGGACTAAAAGCTTTTCATTATCCCGACGATATGATGTCGAGCTACACACATAAAATCGAAGTCGATTATGTGTTGTTCGAGGGGACTCTCTTCACTAAGTCTAGCATGTTTTCATGAGTTTTCCATGCTAACTAAGATATTGCCAGTGCACATAGTTTAGATGCAGTTGACATGATCACTCGGTCTCATACATATTGCAATGGATCAAGGTGTGTGAAAATATGAATAAAAAAATTATTCTGTTAAATGAGGAGGATACTTAGGGTGTGAATGAAATCATTTCTCTTTCCCGACCCTATTTCTCTTTTCCGAATAAGTTTCTGAGCAAAAAGTAGCGTTTGATAATGATGCGAAATTTATGTTCCCGCCGCCCGGTGAGTAGTGGTGGTGGGCAAACGGCCAGCAAGCGGCAGTGGTGGGAAGTCGACGGGGGGCGGCCGGCAAGTGGTGGTGGCGAGCTGACAATCGGTGAGCGAGCAGCGGCGGACAGCCGGCGAGTGGCTGGCGGGCGGTTGATGGGCGATGGTGGACGGCTGGCGAGTGGCGGCGGCAGTGAACGGCCAGTGGGCGGTGGTGGCGGGCGGCAATGGTGAGCAATAAAAGAGAGTTGTTATTTTTGTTTCTATTCCAAAAATATAAAAATAAAATATTTTAACCTCTCATTTCTTTTCCAAATCTATTTCTAGGCCAAAATTTATCTCAGAAAAAAAAATGAAATTAGTTTAACAAATAGATTTCTATTGCAAACATGTTCCGGTGAATAAAAAAATAGAAAAACAAGGAAATAGAATGGTTATCGTTCGCGCCTTTAGAATGATATATCATGGTGCATGAGTCACAACAAAGTAAGCTCTTAATTGAACGAATTAGTTCAAATGGATCTTTCTGTTTAAGCGAAAGAATTTTCTTCTAATTATTTTATGAACTTTCAAAGTGTCTTTTGGATGAATTATAGGGGAGAATAATATTTGAAAGTAGGGAAAAAGTCCCCAAAACCCTCAAACTATGCCCACATGAAATCATTTACCCCTTTGACCAAAAAAAGAAAAAGAAAACATTTATCCCGAACTTTTTTTTGTGACATAAAAAATCCAAAATTATACCTACCGTGGCACATTAACCCTAAACTTTTTTCTTGTGTCATAAAAAACCCTAAACTTGTACCTATGCGACACATTTATCCTAGATGAATTTTCAGCCAAAATAACGTCATTTTATTTCACTTAAGCCATGTGTACACGTTACTTTCCGGTGTCTATGTAGGCAGATTTTTAAAGATTCTCGTTAATAAAACTTTGACGCAGGGTAAATGTGCTACACAGGTACAAGTTTGAGAATTTTAGTGTCACAGAAAAAACTGTAAGGTAAATATGTCATATGAGCATAGTTTAGGATTTTAGTGGCTTTTGCCCTTGAAAGTAAGCCATAAAATTTTGGGTTAATACCATGAAAAACCCAAAAATGGTACATTTGTAATGAATTTATTTTGAACTAATTTTTTGACTACCAAAAACCCCAAAGTGATACACCTGTGATAAATTAACCCTCAATTAATATTTTGACCACCAAAAATCCCAAACCGGTACACTTGTGATAAATTTACTCTCCGTTAAATTGGATTAATATCATGAAAAATCACAAATTGATAAACTTGTGACAAACGGAGAGGGTAAAACCTTAAGCTGGTGCATTTGTCAACTGCTACGTGCCATCCAATTTAGGAATTTGACAGAAAAATTTAACGGAAATTAATTGAGGGCAAATTTGTCACAGATGTACTGGTTTAGGATTCTTTGAGATAAAAAAAATTAATTTTGAGTAAATTTGCCAGTTGAGGGTTTTTCATGATATTAACTCTAAAATAGCAAATAATCAAAAAAATAATTATTTTCTTTTGAAAATGATTAGTACGGAAAAAATCCCGTATTCACCGACCACCGACGAGTCTTCCCCGCGGGTTCCATCCTTCATATATTTCCCCGAGAAAACACGGACAGAGAGTCGCATATTCCCCGAATGTTGTCCGCCCCTCTCGCCACTCGGCACTCCTCCCTCCTCTCGATATCCGTATAAATACCCAGCCCTCCCGCGCTTCCCCTCCTCCCGTCATGCGCTCCCTCCTCTTCTCCAGATCCTTCTCCCCCGCCTCCCCCGCCTCGCTGCTCCAGCGGCCCCCCGCCGCCGCCGCCGCCGCCGCCGTCGCCTCCTCCTCCTCCATGGCCGACGGCGGCGCCGCCCCCCGGGCCCGGGCCCGCCTGCGCGGCGTGGTCTTCGACATGGACGGGACCCTCACCGTCCCCGCCATCGACTTCGCCGCCATGTACAGGGCCGTGCTCGGCGACGACAAGTACCGGAGGATCAGGGCCGAGAGCCCCGCCGGGATCGACATCCTGCACCACATTGAGGGCTGGAGCCCCGAGAGGCAGCGGACGGCCTACGAGGTCATTGCCGATTACGAGCGCCAGGGGCTCGATCGTCTCCAGATAATGCCCGGTTGGTGAAACACTGTGCCGATTTTTTGGGAAGTGGGCATGATTTTATAGGCTCGATAAAGAAAATGTAGGACACTGAAAGAGCTGTAATTGATGATTTTGTTGGTTCTTTTTCTCTTCGTTTTAGTTCTGTCGTAGGATGATACGGATTTTTTATGGGGAATTGGTAATCCGTAATAGAGGCTCTGTGGGTCTTCTTTTGAGTTTTGGGGGTCTGTTTGGGTGCTGAGACGATGCAGGGTCCTCGTGTGTGAATTCCTGACAGGAGAAGTTGGGGGCTTCATGCTTGCTCTCACTCTTTAGTCATCCTTTGGTGTGTGAGTTCAAGTCCATCTGTGGGATAATGATAGAATTGAGGCGATGCGATATGCCTCTATTTAAGACTTCCGTAACAAGAAAATGGTACGCACGCGACATATCTATTCTTAGGCTGTTGATCTTTCTAGGCAGCAAACCAAGGAATGCGAGTGCAGTCTCAATGCATTACGAGATTGATGATAGGCATGTGAATTAACTGGAAGTTGTCTATAGAATTCCAGCATTCATCACTCAGACTTTCCAAATGTGGTTCTGTGCAATTGGTTGTTTGCTAATGGCATTGCTTGGTCAGCTGTCTATCTTTAGTGAGGTCACTTGTGTATGTGATATGGCCTGAGATATGTTCCTAATGGGTCTCTTTGTTGATTGATTATGATTGGATGTTGTCTGCTTATGTGATGGAGATAATATTGCCCATACCTTTTGATATGCGCCATAATTTGGGTCAGCTGCGGCTTAGTAGAAACTTAATAGAAAGTTGCCTTTTTAGAGGGCGCACATAAGCAGGGTGCATTTTGTTGATAAGAAGGTAATTGTTTGTTGCATTTTATTTAGGCATTTTTCATTTTGAGATAGTTACAGCCAAAGAGAACCTGTTTCACAGGACAAACATAGGAAGATACTTCTGTTAAAAACTACAATCTTTTCTGTTGGACTTTTAAGGTGTATTTTGCAACTCCATTTTCATTTTTCAATACCCAATTGTGGGCCGGGGGCTTCCCTTTGCCAATCCAAGTGTGGATTCAATCCACTAGCTGTTAGAAGGAATCCAACTTCTGTTTGTTGTTCGGCAGTGACGGGAATATACCATAACTATTGTTCCTGCTGAGTCATAAGGAAATGGCTGGGCATAGATTTTACATTTACGTGAATGAGGAAGGAAATTAAAATCATGAATTTCGCTGCTGTGAGTGAGCGTGTTTTTTCTTAATAAGGAAGACTTGGTTTGTGTACTCTTGTTAAGGGTAAGCTCGCTGATATCTTGGGCTGGGCATGTCACTGTTATACTTATTATCACTTCCTGACAATGCCTTAAATAATCTTTTGCTGATGCATCATGATCTGATGTTTTTCATTTACTCTGTAAACTAGTTCTCATATAGTGGACTATAATCTGAGTGGCTTAAGTTGTAAGAATGTCACTTGAGGTAAGAAGATGCAATACACCTAATTAAAACTGGGGGCATATTGTTTATTAGGAAAGTTGCTCTCTAAATATCACAACTCAATGGAAATTCTTTTATTCTTTGTTTAGTTGATTTTCGCCAATTTAATGTGCAGGGGCAGCCGAGCTTTGTAGTTTTCTAGATTCAAAGAAGTTAAGGTCAAGCCTCTCAACCAAACACTGTATCTTTTCAATTCTCTTATGTCTGAGATGAAGGATATGCATGTGCTTCACTGTAATATCATAGTGTTACGGTTCCACTTAGTTGACCTCTTCCCATGGGCCATTCATGTTCTCCCCCATTGCGAATTGAATCTCCTGAACAAAGTTAAAGAGCTGATTGCCTTAAATAGCTCTTGGATTCTCTTTGTCCTGGTAGTACAGAAGTTCATACCATCGTTGATGCTGCCTTAACAGTCCTCCGTCAACCAATTCTCCCAACATATCCGATCCTAATATTGCATGTTGGTATTATCATATCAGGATTTTGGAAGCTTTCTGAAAATCATTAGCCTGGCCTTTACTTTTCACCATTAATACTTATTGACTGTATGTATCTAATGTTAAAGATGTTATCATCCGTTCTTCTGAGTTCTATTCATATGGATGGAAATTATGAATGTTTATTTCCCAGTCCTTTTTTGGGCACTCTCTCTGAGTTTAGAGCTAGCTGGATCCTGGCTTAGCACTTTGTTAATTATCTTCAACCTGTTTAGTGAGTCACTATTATTTCCACTATCCAGTAAATAGCAAAACCATAGGTCCTTTCTTCTATAGAACTTTGGTCTTGGGTCCTTTCTTCTGTGAACAGATAATTCGGTAGTGCTTCTGCTATATCTTTCTTGAAGAAAAGAGTGTATCTCCATTTATTCTAATTGGATAATGTGGATGTTGACTGTTTTGATCTATCAAATCTGGAAGCTAGTACTAAGATGATTCTGGGTGTCTTGAAACTGCTGTATATAATAATATAGTCAGCTATGCTAAGTGGATGCTACACCAACTCTGCAGTTTGCTAATTTAAGCCGATCCGTTGACGTTTGAGGTTGCAAGAAATGCTGTTTTTCTGATTCACTGAGCTAAAGTAGTTGTCTGTTGATACTTGAATGAAGTATATACTTTTTTTTATTTGAATCATAGAGATTGTTGCTGAGTCTGTCGTTTGGAAGTTGCGGTCCAGGAGTTGCAAATTCCTCTGGTGGTAATAAATTTGGGTTCTTGCTTTTTAGTTAACAAACTTACTTTGCAGCTATGTGTTCCTAAGCATAAGTTTATCCCAGTTTTGTTTCCTTTTGTCGTGTTACTTCGCTGAGGCGGCATTTCTATATATTTATGATGCATGTTTTTGTATGTATATTTGTGGCGAACGGGTCCACATAGAACCACCCATTCCCTTTCCATAACGAAACAAAACCACGTACTGTGGTGTGTGCACACAGACTCGCTTCTAAGTTAAATAAGTTTTCTTAATGGAAAAGATTTTGATGTGTCAAACTCCCATATGTTTTGCAGCACCTTTTCCTGCCATTGGTGGTGTTAATTAAGATGTTTTTGTTTTCACATTTTGGTTTCGCGATGATTATGACTGATGGAACTTGTCTATCAACTTTTATATGGCGGAGTTGATTCCTCTTTCTTATTGTTTTTCCCTGTTTTGCCTTTTAGAAGAGGACTAATAACAAGGAATGTGAAGTCAGCAGTTGATTTGTTTCACCAGCGCTTTGGGGTAAGTAGTTACTTTGAGAGCTGGGCCTTCCAATGAGCTTGAGTTCAATGGTATTATAATCTCTCCATGATGCACTGCAAATATGTGTCCTCTCTGATATGGACTTTTGGTGGGACTATATCTTTTGAGAGATTCTTATCAAATGAGTCCTTGGAACAAGTTCGATACACAAGTGTGTTGTACATATGGTACCACTGAGTAACACATCTCCTCTCTCCAATAGGCTTGGTTTATACCTGAAACATAGCTATGACATCTTTATATCAAACCTTTTGGCAGTGTTTTTTTTCCTTATTGTGCCTTGCATGAAACTTGTTGACACGGTTACAAGAGCCTTACTCTGTTTCTTTTTGGTTGCTTAGGTTATATTTTCTCCAGCATTGAGCAGAGAATTTCGTCCCTATAAACCTGACCCAGCTCCGCTTCTGCATATATGTTCTAGTTGGGAAGTCCAACCTAGCGAAGTAATGATGGTTGGTGACAGCCTGAAAGATGATGTGAGTTCTAGCACCTCTTAAGTTCTGCATCTAAAAAGTTAGTTCGTTTTTTTTTTCCTTACCTTGTGGAGTCCTGCACCTTTTCTTTTCTCATGCAGCATCCACTAATATTTTTTGGACACAAGGCTAAGTTCGTTTTCATTCATTTAGTATGTCTTTCCCTTGATGTTTGACTAGTATGGCGTTTCTGATTTGTCATAGTATGTGCATTTTTCACTGAAGCTTTCTGGTAAATGACCCTCTCTCGGCAATGAATAATGTTTGCCTTTTCCTCTTCCCTTTTGGGTGGAGGGGCGCTGCTGAATATTTTTGTTCTCTCATGGATTGTGGATGATTTTCACGTTGGTGCCAAACCTAAGTGATGAGGTTGCGCACCTTGTTTCTGCAGGTGACGTGCGGAAAACGTGCTGGCGCATTCACTTGTCTGCTAGATCAGACAGGCAGATACGATGCTCCTGAGTTTGATAGTGTGGATCTCAAACCGGATTTCAAGGTGTCGTGCCTCACCGAACTTTTCCCACTGCTGGAGGCAAATTTTGATCTTGCACCCTGATTTTATTCCCGAACACCCCTTTCGCATAATAATGAAGGGGGGGAAATTCTTCTGCATGATTCGACTATTACAAGTTCGTCGTAGACTCTCCAGTAGAGTTGCGGTGTCTACAATGAAGAAGAGAGAGAATTGGTTGAGAAAATATTCGGTAGTGATGTGGCGCGCTCTTATTTACTCAGATCCAATTGTAGCTTGACACATGGAATGACTCGGAATCAAATTAGAAATGCTAAAAATGTGATTTTTCTTGTCTTCCACCTCTATCCATAGCCACCCTTCGGCCGGTGTCTCCACCACTCAAGTTGCCACAACCTGCGTTATCCTTAAGCCTGCCGCCTGCCGGCGAGTTCCATCTAGCAAACTTCCATATCTGAAATGGTTCAGATCTGGCGAAGCCAGACGACTGAGGGGTGGACGTGGAATTCTGTGGTTAGATCTGTGGACGAGAGGCTGTCCACGGCCGACCATTGCTCCGCGTCTTCAAACATGTGGACGAGCACTCGTAGGAACTAACCGGTGACGCTTCGGACAACGGAGAGAAGTGAGTCGTGCGAACTCACCAATAACAACCGCTACTCTTCGTTGCGGCGTCTAGTCCACAAATTGAGACAATTTAAGCCCAAAAAGACATACCCATAATTAGAAACTTGCTCGTTCGACCAAAAATCACAGGCAATTGCGAGAATTTTAATGGTGATGGAGTCAAAACTGAGCACGTCGTTGCTGTCGAACTTGATGCTAACACTAGGCGCAAGTGGCCGCATAAATGCCTTTTTCTCGCTACGTGTAACAAAAAGCCTATCGCCACTGGAACTTGCCGATGGCCACGGTGTCTGCTCAGCTTGGATGTGTAGCCGTTTGGCTTGGATGTGGTGCCGATGACTCTGCCTGCGGCGATAGCCGGAGGAGGCGCAAGCTCATAGGTTGAGCTTAGAGGCGATTCCATCATGGTTCCAGATGAAAAAGAAGGAAGCAAGAAACTTCTTTTATTATTTAATTCCACGTTAGTGTATATATGTCAACTTATAATTCGTTCACGATGAATAAACGTGCACCACGTCACCTCACAAATCACTAAATATTTTCTCGAATTGGAGTACATTTGAGGAACATACCTCCTGAGGGATGCAAGGATGTAAAACGGAGAAAGAATGATTAGAAGTTGCTCTTGCATGGGTTTGTTTTGTATGTTTCATTCTCAGGAGCTCATGAATCATGATTTATTACATGGACATGCTACATCTTGCTTGTATATATGCTTTCGAGATTATGTCCCTTTGTGGAATAGTCACACTCATTGTTCATGGTGTTGACTTAGAAAGTTCGAGGAAACTTCTAGAGATTTGGAGGGTGACTTTCGCGATACGAGAAATGACTACATCCGAACTCCTAACACTGATACACGTAATTTAATTGATTATTCAGGGTTTTGGAATTGAAGGTTTTCTCAAGCTAATTCTCCAAAAAAAGCCTAGTTATAGGTCAAATTTCACTTCTATCACGAACTTTTTTGCTGTCCTGAAGAAACTAGTGGCGATTTTTGACGTGTAGGCATATTTAAAATTAGAGTGAAAGTTGAAATTTTTTTTTAGATAATGAGATTGGATCTAAATTTGACCAAAAAAATAGATTGGATATAAAGTTAGAGATTTTTTTTAGGGAATCAGGTGTGGTGGAACTCTTCCAATTATGATATACAATCATCTAGAAAACCAAGAAGAATATTAGAAGCTAAAACAAGTTGAAAAATTAAAACTGAGATTGGAAAGAAAACAAACATAAAAAATGATAAAAGAGCGCCCACCGTGGGGCTCGAACCCACGACCACAAGGTTAAGAGCCTTGCGCTCTACCGACTGAGCTAGACGGGCTTGGACGACCGATTTCCTACATTAAAAATTATAAATAAAAATTACGTCTCATCCTTCGCGCTCCGACTACTGCGACGCGCCGACTCCTATCCGGTCGCGCTCGATGATGACACCTCCTTTGCCAGCGAGAGGAAGCTCTCTCCGTCGTCCCTTCCGCCCCGGCTACTGCTACTGCTGCTGCTGCTGCAGAGGACGGCGTTTGAGAGCCAAGATCGAGCGGCCGCCACAGCGGTGCGGAGGAGAGTTCGACAGCGTCAGTTTCTCAAATCTTCTTTTTTATATTAATATTATTTCTTGTGAACAAATGCCTGATTTTATAACGAGTCTTGCATGAATTCTTGGAAATGAGGTTCATTTGCTTGGTTGTTGAATGCCCTCTCTGACTACAGCAAAATTAGAACTTTTCGTTTCGTGAGATCGGCTTTTGCATTTATTTGACGCATCTTCTTCATATCAGGAGCTTTCCCCTTTTTGCAACTAGTTTTGTCGTCTTGGTCTTGAGCGAAAACTATAATTATACAAGAAACCGTCTCCTTATGCCCTCATGCTCAACGCGTCGCTCGAACAGCTGATAGCGAACGGTTTATCGCACGTTCAGAAGCTCCAAGGAACCGGGCACCAGCTATCGATTCTTCCTTCAGCCGGCTAGGAGATGTGGTTTCTAGTCTATATCTTTCTATTTCTATATATGGAAAGTTTAAAAAAAAAAATAAAAATCATCGTATAATAATCCAGAAAAGAAATCGAAATGGAAAAGGAAAAAAGAGGGAGGCTTGTGATGATTTTTGAAATCTTTCATCAACTAAAAGAGCAATTGAAGTGGTTCATGATTTCTCACATGCTCTGATAGATCGCGAGTGAAGCTCAGCCTTATGAATGCATCCATCCAAGAGGAATGTTCAAACTTGGTCATGGCGAATCGGCTTTATCGGCATCTTCGAATTTAGTGGCCAGAGATTGAAATGAGCCCGATCAAATGTTTGCGTTAAGGTAAGAAATTATGTATAGCTGTGGTATGAGCAATTGCTGATGGATGTATTAGCCAGTTCAGAGATGTATAACTGAAACAGAGGCACGCATTTGATTTCACATGGTACGAGACAAGAACATTGTCACGGGTCGATGTTCGGTGAGGGGTGTCTACATTGGTGATTCGTTTTATTGTCTTGAGCAACAGGCGCATCAAAAACACATTAAATGCACGAAGAGCATCAAATTCAGTGAGGGAGATGATTCGGTATTCATTCGGAATGTCACAATGGTTCTGACTTTTAACCAATGCAGAGACTTAAAGAGGATGAAAGTGTCGCCTGAAGGAGATTGGGCTAGTGGTGGCATTAGGTGATGAGTGAAGCCGAAAGGACGATCGACATGATGAACAAGACGATACCAAGAAACGAGAGGTTTTATTTGCATAGGTTTTATGAAGAACCATGGTTACGCATGATTATAGCGAACAATCGCGCACTGTTATAAAATTAAAAGGAAATTTGCCATTATGATTTTTCTTTCTTTCTTTTGTTTCACCTTGCAGACTGCAGCAGGAGAAGCACGAAGCTGAGGAGGAGGAGATGCGAGAAGCGGTGAGCGTCGAAGTTATGGGCGATTGTTTGTCCGTCGATTTCATTTGTCGCTGTGGGAAAGGCTATTAGATTCTGCTATCTGGGAGGAGTAGCTGTTACTACAGGCTCGTGTCACCCAATCTTAGGGGGCTGGCCAAGAAAAAGCCCTCCATCAAGAATCCATTGATACACATACTGCTTCTGAATTGATGTTGTGATATGTGTATCAATGGATTCTTGATTTCTTGGTCACCCCAACATGCCATTGTTTGGTTACTTACTGTCAAACATCAGAAATTGCAGTTTTTTTGTCACTTTCATGGTCATACGTGCCTTAAAACTGTCTGTGGGAGGAGTCTTTGGCAGTCTTAGATGGGGATGTCTTCTAAGTCGAGTTCGATTATGAATGCCATCAAGTGTCTTCTCAGTCAAGAGTCTTTAGTAATGGAGGTGATTGTTCTGTTTCTGGTCATCGATTCGGATCAATTTCTTGGCTCTGTCTATTCATTTGGTCATCCTTTTCTCTGGTGGGACTCTTTTCCTTTCCAATGCGGAGGAGTAATCAAGTAAAGCGGTATCTCCAGCAAGGTCTTTTGATTCACTCGGCCTCTCTTCAAGCTGCTTAGTTTGATGTTCATCATAGACAACTCTCAGGTCGAGGAGTATCAGCGGTATCGGCAGACCATAGAATAGAGAGGGCTTGCCCGTGGTCACCTGTTACTTGCGAAGGACGAGACCTTTAAAGCGATGTTGTCGTTAGAACTATTTATTGGATGAGTTCAAATAGCTCACAACACAACTGATAATGAAGATGGGATCAGAGAAATCATGCTGCAGAGCCTATACTGCTCAAAAGATCAAGAGCACCAGTAATTCCATTAGTTCCGTAATTTGTAAGGGTAATCGGTTTCAGGGTGAGCCGATTCCCTCTTTGAAATCGGGAATCAGACTGGACAGGTCGGTTTTAAGTTTGTGGAATCGGGAACTAGCCCACCTGATCCTAGAACCGGACCGGACCAGTTCCCGGGTGGGTCCAAGGAACCGGCGTCCATCACAAGGGTAGACTTGGCGACTCTCCATCTTTGCCCTCTACGGAAGCTGCTGACGTCATGGAAGGAAAGTTTGAAAAGTTTCCTATTTCTTTTGCCAAAAGCTAGCTTCTCTTTCTTTACCTGTGCGAGCTACTTCACCATCGTCATCATTACCTTATCATTCACGGTCATTGTTTCCTTCTTAAGGAGGACTTCCGTAATCTTGTCTACGGCCTCCTGATTATTCCTCATTTGCCTCAATGCAATTTCGTACACACTATCTGAATTTTTTTTCATGGCAGCATCAATGTCTCCCGTAAGCTTTTATAACATTATGGGTCCGTTCGTTTTGTAAAAAATGTAACGTTTTTGAAAAATATTTTTCGAAAAGTCATTTTCTAGGAAATTGAAACCATTTTCTAGTGTTCAGTTGAGACTTGAAAATAAACTGGCAAATATTTTCTGTTGTTCGTTTTGGAAAATCAGATTTGATTTTCCTCCTTGCACTCCTTTTAATAATTTTTTATTTTATTTTTTTAAAAATTCGAATTTCTAATTACTTTTTAATAATTTTTTTATATTTCTACTTTTTTTTCTTCCTTTTTTTTTTCTTTCTTTCTTCCTTTGCCGGTCGCTGACCACAGCGACGGTCGGTGACCGACCATAGGCGAGGCTCGGCCTCACTCGCCATAGGCCGGCAAGGCTTGAGCAAGGCCTCGCCTTGCCTCGCCTCGCAAGGCTAGCGAGGCACTAGCAGAGAAAAAAAGAAAATAAAAATAAAAAAATAATTAA